AGGTCCCTTCTGACCCTACCAGCTATGAAACTATGAAAAGAAGTCTGTGAAGCCAGCCCTGACAATGGGCTTCTCATTAGGACCAGCATAAGATTATTGGTGATAATCCACTTCAGGTTGTCAGTATCAGGGAAATGCATGGAAAGATGCACCAGGAAGAAACCCGAAATTGAAGTTAAATACGCAGGAGCAGTATTTCCTTGAGGGCAGCAAGGGACTCCCAGCTGTAATACCATGGGAAGTCAAGAACAGGAAGGAGTTTTACCTGCAAATCCAAAGCATGTTGGAGTGCTGCTGCACCAGATGTTTAACTGGGAGCTTTCTAGCTCACATGCTGGGTCAAACTGGCAGGGCAGTCCGGCTCTTTGCCATAGGGACCCTCTCCTGGGGCATTGAGCAGGGAGGAGACTGCTTATCTACTGACTTGTGCATGTACCAGAAAAACACTGCTTTGATATTAAGGAACAAACCATTTTAAATTCTGTGCCTTTGAAAACCTACTGAAAACACCTCCCATGACCAAAATACCTCCCACAATACAACTCTCCCAATACAAGGAAAGTATTATAATCCCATCTATACAAAGGGCCAAGACCCAGAGAAGCCAAATGACTTTCCCACGAATAAGTCTAGGTCCAAATAAAGAATTTAACCCATGTCATAGGCTAGTACTGTAACCACTGTGCCAGTGGTTCTCAGGTAGGATGATGTTATACCTTGGAGTGCCTTGAGATTTTTACAGGGGTGCCATGAGATGCCATATAATGTTAACACTGTTAGGTGTGCAAGCATGATTCACAAGAATAAACCGCACAATTTCAAATATGAATCCATAGTGTTAAAAAATTCTGCCCTGCTGTGGTCTTTCTGAGTTCTTTGCAATAGAAAAATTGCTCTGTTATATTTCCATAATCATAAAATGATTGAAAATTATGAGCTAGCATTTTCTGAGGGGGGCCTTGAGCTGAAAAGGGGGCGCTGTAATTCTAAAAAGGTTGAGAACTGTAGAATTACTGCTGTAATTCTAAAAAGGTTGGGAACCGTTATACTATACTGTGCTTTTTCTCTTGTCCACCCCTAGCTCACCTGCTCCACCCTGGTGATGCAAAGTATGAAGAGCAGATGGTCAAAGGAGTCCGTGGCCTTTCTGTACAGCTGGCGTGTGGTGACGTGGTCTCACCCATGGTCGTTTTCTGGAGCTTCACCAAGCAGGGCTCACTCATTCCCAGGGCTGTTGCTATCAGCAATGGGATAGAATCCAAGGTAGAGAAGGCTTCTGTGGTCCTGGGGCAGGTGAACCTGAGAAATGGCACCCTGGAGGTCAGGAACCTGCAGACAGCTGCTGAAGGGCACTTCATGTGCCAAGCCATGTATGAGGAAGAAGAAGAGATCAGAGTTGGCTACTTCTACATAGAGCTGGTGGTCTTGGGTAAGTGATGTGGAGACAGCATCCTCTCTGATCCTGCTTGGACCGATAAGTAGAGGCCCCAGTCAGTCACAAACCAAACCATTAATCACATTGGGCTCCCTTCTATAGTGTTGTTTTCTGATCCCAACAGCCTCATCCTTTTGAAGTGAAGTAGCATCCGCATGGTGCAGACAGGCAAAATGAGGCTGTGGGAAGGGAAGTAGCTCATGCAGGGTTTCAGAGTGGTCAAGACAGGAACAGATTCTGGACTCCAATCCTTAGTCATCTTCTTCAGCTGCTTCACACAGCATCCCCACTTGTCTGTCCCTCATATACTTCTCTGGATCCATGCTGCACCTAACAGTGATGGTTTCTTGAAAGAAGTCAGAGATAGAGGAGTGTCATAAGGTCCCAGGTGTCTCCACTGCATTCTTCAGTTTCATTCCCAACAACTCCAAAAAACAGAGCTTGCACTGCTGCCTTCTGGAGACTGCTCTCTTAGGTAGTCTTAGGAGGGTGAAAACTGCAGGGATGCTAGCCCCTGTTGAGGCCACAAAGCCTGCCAAGTGTCAAAGTCCTTGCATAATAGTAAAAGTCCTTGCATAATATGCCTGTGCAAATAGGGAACTATTTGATTCGGATTTGGATTCAGCTGATTCAGATGCCAGAGATTCGATTTGGAGATCCAAATCATTTTTCTGATTCAATTCAGCTGAATTACTTCAGAAGGTTCAGAGATTCAGCCATAGAGTATAAAGGGGAATCAATGAAATATCTATAATTTTCTTGTCTTTTGGCTGGTTCAGATTAAACTTGCAGAGATGATCGCCTCTGCTGAGAGCATGGCATGTGCCAAGCTTCAAAGTGATAGGTACAGGGGTTTCTGGGAAACTGCACCTCAAACTCCTGAAAGCAAAACTCATGTCATGTGTTGGTGTTAAGCCACAGTGAGATGAAAACAGCAGGGATGGTAGCACTTGCTGAGGCCACAAAGCCTACCAAGTTTCAAGGAGATAAGTGAAGGGATTTCTGGGAAACTGCACCTCAAACTGCCGACCAGCAAAACTCATGACATAGGTGACACTGTATGTGTGTTAAGGCACATTAGGGTGAAAACTGCAGGGATGATAGCCCCTACTGAAGCCACAAAGCCTGCTAGGTCTCAAGGAGATAGGTGCAGGGGTTTGGGGTAAACTGTACCACAGGCAAAACTTGTGACATGGGTGACACTGTGTTTGTTAAGGTGCAGCAGGGTGAAAGCTGCAGGGATGGTGGCCCCTGCTGAGGCCACAAAGCCTACCAGCTGTCAAGGAGATCAGTGCAGGGGGGTTCTGGGGCCCTGCATCCCTAGCTGCAGACAGGCAAAACTCGTGACATGGGTGCTTGTGCACAGAAACTGACTGTTTCTGTCTTGGGACAGAAGCAGTTCCTGGCTCTGTATTGATTCTTTCCTCTCCTTAGTCTGTGGTTTTGTAGGTGTTAATCCTTGCTCATTAACTTGTTATCTAGTAGCTAGCTACTGTGTATTGAGCTGGTCCCTGAGTGAATCATGTTTGATTGGTAACACAGTAACTTAGCAGCCAGACCTGCAGTAGTTCCCCCCTCCCCATTCCCCCACCCACATCCCTCCATGCCCTAAGACAGGAACAGTCAGTTACACAAGCACCCATGTTATGAGTTTTGTCTGTCAGCAGCTAGGGCTGCAGGGCCCCAGAACCCAGAAACCCTGCACCTATCTCCTTAATAGCTGTCAAGCTTTGTGGCTGAAGCAGGGGCTTCGATCCCTGCAGCTTTCATCCTGCTGCGCCTTAATACACACAGTGTCACCCATGTCACGAGTTTTGCTTGTCTGCAGCTTGCAGTACAGTTTCCCCCAAACCCCTGCACCTATCTCCTTGAAACTTGGCTGGCTTTGTAGCCTCTGCAGGGGCTAGCAAGCATGCAGTTTTGACCCCACCATGGCTTAACACATACATGCGACATGAGTTATGCTTTCAAGATTTTGGGGTGCAGTTTCCCTGAACCCCCTGCACCTATCCCCTTGATACTTGGCAGGCTTCATGCCCTCAGAAGGGGCTAT